AGTAGTAGTAGTTGTAGTAGGAGGAGTAGTAGGAGTGGTAGTAGTGGTAGTAGTGGTAGTAGTGGTAGTAGTGGTAGTAGTGGTAGTAGTAGAAGTAGTAGAAGAAGAAGTAGTAGTAGTTGTTGTAGTGTTTCTTCCAGACATAGATGCGGACGTACATACTTACATGCATGCACAATGGTATGGCGGTTCGAGCTTCTTTCTCTTTGTCGTGCGGTGACCGAGTTCGATCTTTCTAGGGATTCTTCGTGGCTTAGTTGGGCTTCAGGAGTTGATTGTCTGGTTCAGGGTTTTGGGCTGGGAGTTCGGGTTGCCGGTCTAGGCTTCGGAGCTCGATTTGGGGCGTTGAGGAACCATCCCTGCTAGGACTCTCAGACATATATATGGGGAAAGGGACTCCCAGATGCGGCAAGCCTCGAAGGTGTCGCATCAAACACACCGATGCCAAGAGCCTTTACTTTGCGGCCCTTGGAGGAGCTAGCAACCCGTACCCCTCGTGCTGGTCCACCGCCCCGCAAAGGCCTTTCAGCAGTGGCTCGGGAGCAGATCTTTGGTTGTGGAGTCGATGTCTTATGTTGGTGCTGGCAGCAGTGGTGATGGTGGTGAAGTGTGGCGGTGGGGTCTGTCGTCGTATGTATTCGATGCAGAAGTTGAAGTAGTTAGTATCGTCGTAGTAGAAGTCGTAGTCGTAGCGGTAGTGGTAGAGTGGTAGTGGTTTAGTGGTCGTGGTCGTGGTAGGTAGGGGTAGAAGTGGTGTAGCAGGGAGTATATATGAAGTTGCAACCAATACGGGAGCTAGCTAGTAGAAAACATAGCCAGCAACAGGTAGATTGCCGAGGACCGATCCTTGCCCACGCGACTCCACAAGCCCCAGAGTAGGCAAAACGTGAGAAAATGCAAGTCGATAGCCTTGGCAGTGAAGCTTTCGAAATCTATGCCTCAAGCCAAGCGCAATATCCTCGAATACTATTCCGACTATTCCGCTGCAGTTCTTGCGGAGTATTTCGTAATTCCACCAAGCGCAGTTTTTTTTTTTACGAACCGCCTGTTTCTTGTTGTGCTCCTTCGAAGACTGCCGGGTCCTTATTCAGAAAGGTCCTAGAGCTTTGAAGCCTACCAGCTCCCACGCTCCTCCTAGACCCTGAGCCCTAACGATACAAGGCCCTGCAAGTATAACCGAAATCCGTAGCTCTTTTAGAGCCGCGTCCATCCGCGTCCACGTCAACTCTTACCCCAACGTCGAAATCGAAGGTCTTCGCCCTGCCCGGCGGCCGCCTCGCGCCGACACCCTGTGGCGATGCTGGGGCGTTGCTCGCTCGGAGTGTGGAGGCCTTTGAATCATATGCTACATCATCAGTATACTGGACTGCAGCATGACTATAATACATTATGATGTACTATAACATACTATAAGATCTTAAAGTTCACGGTCTTATAAGACAGATAAGAGGAATCCGGAGGCCTGAACTCCTCTACCTTAAGCCCTAATCCGTTAACCAGTTCAAACGCCCTTATCCAAACCTGGACCTAAGAAGTCCGCCATAGTGCCCACAGGCCCCAAACCCTGAACGGACCCATGCAAACAAAAGGGCACCTCTTGGCAGAAGAGAGGACCTCATGGAGTCGTCCGGCGATGTGCTGATCGAGATCTTGGTCATTGAGGTAAGGAAACACCCGGTCCAGGATTTATCTTGGGTTTTTGATCATGAGCCGACTAGCAATACGCAGCTACATCATTGAATGATTCACTTGAGGTTTAGATTGCAGTCCAGGGTTTATGGGTGTTTGTCTCAGGGCTCAGAATGCTTAACATGTCACGTTCCCGCCGACCTGCCTGTTTGCTTTCGCTGAGTAGCGGCCGGAAACGTTCGCAACATGACCGAGTAGGCCGGCGCAGCCAGTCAACCAGCCGGCCCAACAGATCTACCCACCCAAAGATGCTGTTAAACACACTTGGTGATCCCAATGATCAAGCATCGCCAATGCCAAATCAGCCGGTATGGCTTCTCCCTTCCCATAGAACCAAAAAGGGAAACACCCTAAACTAAAACCGCCCCAACATCTGCACCTTGAAACCCAAGCCCCCAGCACCACGTCATATGGAGCCGGTTCTGATATCCGAGAGAGAGAGAGAGAGAGAGAGAGAGAGAGACAGACAGACACACACACACACACAGGTAAGGGGAGCAATCCCCTTGCCCCTAGCCCTGGCGAAAGAAAGACACACACACAGAGAGCTCCACTTGAGTCTCGAAACTTGCAACCCGACACTCTTTTGCATTTCGAATCTCGAGCTGCATATTCGCAAGCCCCTAGCTCGGCTCGAAACGCCAAGGGGTCCCTTAGCTTTGGATTCATCCCAAAGCCCCCAAGCCCTCCAATGCCGAAGTTTGAAGGGAACCTGGCATCCTGCAATAAGGGATCGGAAACTTGCGTAGTATATAACGCTACTACTGTGTAGCTCCTGTAGAGGTATGGCTCCGGGTGCCCATAAACATTGTTCCGGTTCTTCCGTCGCCCGTAACCCTGGTTGAGCTATCTAGGCCTGCGGAGTTTCCGTCAGGCTTGCCATCCAAAATCTACACCGAAAACCTAGGCCCGAATCTGAACACCGACCCTTCAACGCCTTCCGGTACGTCGGGATGGAAGGTAGGGGCCCGAACAGTTCGACGCACTAGGGTTTATTAGCGCCAAGGAACTCGAAGGGGGATATCTTTACTATTGTCAGAGCTTGGGGCTTGGGGCCCCTAAACTCTAAACCCTAAGCCCTAAACCCTAAGCCCTAAACCCTGAACCCTAAACCCTAAACCCTGAACCCCAAAACCCTAAACCCTGCTGTAAAGCCTAAGTTCAAGGCTTTCGGGTTTAGGGAGTTCGGCTCTTGGGAGGATGGGACGGACCCGCCCGTGCCAAAGCCAGAGTTCACAGGCAGGTTTAGGGTTTTGGTTTTGGGCTTCGGGTTTCGGGTGCAGGGGTATTGGGTTCAGCATTTGGGGCTCAGGGTTTGGGGGGGTGTTGGGGCTTGGGGTGGAGGGGTATTGGGGTTTAGCATCTTTGGCTCTGAGTTTTGGGCTTCGGGGTTGGGCTTTGTGGTTTGTTTCTACCCTAAACCCTAAACCCTAAACCTTAAACCCTAAACTCTAAACCCTAAACTCTAAACCCTAAACCCTAAACCCCAAATGCCACTCTGGGGCAGGGGTTTTAGGACGGTTCAAGGTTTTGGGGATTCGGCTCAGTCCGAGGGCTCGCATTTTCGTGGCGAGGAGGGATCCTACGTGCATCGTCTAGATATGGGTGGTTGTCAAAATTAGGGTCCCTTTTTGGGTCCTTATTATAATACGTTAGACCCTTCCTCTAACAGTAAGAAGAGCCCTCTCTTTAGAAGGTGTGGGTAGGGTCATTTCGGTGACATTTAGATATGGTTTTGAATACTTGATTTAAGGGTTTTGAACACATATTTCTAGGGTTTAGAACACTTATTTCTCTGGTTTTAAACACATATTTCTAGGATTTAGAACACTTATTTCTAGGGGTTTGAACACTTATTTTTAGGGTTTGGAACACTTATTTTTAGGGTTTGGAACACTTATTTCTGGGATTTAGAACACTTATTTCTGGGATTTAGAACACTTATTTCGGGTTTTTGAACACTTATTTCTGGGGTTTAGAACACTTATTTCTGGTGGCTTTGAACACTTATTTCTAGGGTTTGGAACACTTACTTCTGGGGGTTGGTGGAAAAGTGAACACTTATCCGGGCCAAGATAAGTGTGCACTTTCCCACCAAAATAAGTGTTCCCAGGGCCAGGATAAGTGTTCACTTTCCCACCAAAATAAGTGTTCACCGG